TTTGCCGCCTCAAGTTGTCAAGCTGTCTTCTCTGAGGACCACCCAAACAGATGGGAGTGGATTAGGATTTGTCGAGGATAACCGCCGAACAGCGATGAAGGTTAATTACTTCAGGGACATTCCGTTCGTCTTCAGTTTTCGGAAATAGATGGTAACCCTAAGTATCCGAGAGGTGTACTGACGATTTTCCATGACAAAAAATTAACAGAAACTAGCCATGTGCATCATATATATCAGGGGACGTCTGGAAAACACCAGAGACCTAAGGAATCGGATCTAGACAGTTATGGAGATCATCTAGTTAAAAAAGTGAAAAAATCTTCGAGATTTGTGCTTGGGTAAGAAGTCGATTCGGCCAACCGCGCATATTAAAATTTTGTCCAATACTCCGGCATCTGGGCAAAAGACCGACCAGGAAAAAGTCATACTAGCATTCCAATAACTAAGACGAAATGCACTTACAAACAACACGTGAGCCGACTGGGTACTTCTGTCGTAACTGCTCCGCCGAAAGTGCTAATGCGATTGCCGACGAATCCACGATTGCCTTCTTCTGATTGATTTCGTTAATCAAAGATGGTTGATCGGGCGAAATGTCAATATTTACAAGGAATCGAACTGTATTTTCTGCCCTAGGAGTCTGTCGACTGCGATTGAGCGTCAAAGGACTGCCTCCTATATTCAGATGCTGATTTATATTAAGTGAAGCCAATGGACCATCGGGGTCTTCCTGTTGGCAAATCTGAGCAATTTTTCCGGGAAACCAGGAGCCATCGGAGAGTTTTGCGAGTACAGCTTGGCCAGGAATTCCACGTCTACAAAAAAAACGTAGAGGACCAGAGCACCAGCGGGATTCAAAAATTATAACGGGCAAAAGACAGTTGAGGAAACAAAAGTTGGCCAAAATGCACCGAGGTCTTAAAATCAGGAAAACGCAACGAAAAAAGTGTGCCTGTGAAAGTTTGATTCATTACCCCTTCTTAAAGTAAGTGATATCAGGAAAGTGTGAATAACTGCACGACCAAAAATATCATAAACTTAATCACGTGGACGAAAACGTTATCTATGTGTTTACGGACATACTGAACAATAAAACGAGGAGTGAAGGCTTACATTCCGACAACAAGTTCACTTGGCTGCACTGCGCGCCATGAATTTGCATCAGCTTTGGTTGAGTACAAGCTGACATCTCTGAAAAAAAAACCACGGGCTCAAATGCATGGTCCAGAGGATAAGGGTGAATAAGTCAATCGATGTGTCTGAGTTCGTAAAACTTTACCCCTCAGGTTCAACGATTTCGAGGTCCTTATCCTCATCTGGTTTTCCCGTTGTGATCTGATTATCTAGCTTGATTTCAATGCGCCCAAAAGCTCTAAAGAAATAATATGGTAAAATTTCATACGATATCTGTAGGTCAATGAGGTTTTTTGTGAGTTCTTCAATCTTTCTCCCGATATCTTCTTGTTCAGTCTTTAGGGCATGTCTAGCGTCGTCCAGTTTATTCAATTCATCAGAAATTCGAGTATTTTTCAGAGACTGTACAATATCTTCGATGAAGCCATCGTTTTCCAAGACGCAAGAAAGCCGCTGAGTTAGAATATTTTCCTTAATAGCAAGATCAGACACTATGAACATCAGAGATGGAACTGGGCAAACCCAGGTTGACTTCTGATTCATTATTCTCCAACACATGCTTCAGCAAGAAGTTGTGCATGCCCAGTTCGTCGTAAATCCTGAGGGCCTCCTCGACCAATCGATCGGACGTGTCAGTGGTAGACAGTTGAGAAACACCGCAATCATCCATAATCGTCGATTCGGTGTTAGCGGAGCCGATCAGCCCATGAACCAAGAACCTATAATTCATACATCGAAAACCATGAAACAAATTTTTAACGGCAAATTAAAACACGCGACCACTGATTTTTATGCTTATTTTTTTAAATTGCCAATTTCTCCATTTAAATCCAATAACTACCAATCGTTCTTGCTAGTCGCCCGATGCTGCTGAGTAGTCTTTATCGTTCTATCAAGAATCGGACTAAACAGGCCGACGCACAACACGAAATACCTATTGTTATCAAGATCCGTCGTGTTATGTATTTTTGCGTTGTCTTGATTTTGAATGTCAATCCGCCAAAATTTGTTGGCCCTGTACGGACATGCTACCGTGCAGTGCACACAATAGGATAACATCTATTGTACGGACGCGCGTTTCGAATTTGGTTTCGAATTTTCGCCCTCCGAGGAATTCAGTTACTTCGAGATTTGGGCTTACTGCACGGTCTTAGAGCCTGCTGGAATTAAGACTTGAATTCGACTCACTAATATCTTCCTCCCAACTAGTCTTCTGCAGCATATTCCCAGAACTCCAAATTCGGCCTTCCTCGTTTCCAATACTTCAAGCCCAGAAAGTCGGATTATGTGAAGAACAATACATCCAAAGCTTCTACAAAGGCTGGGTTGCTTTTCTTCTATTAGGCATTGTTTCATCATCGCCTCAAAGTAGTTATCTAAATTTCTGCTCGGAAGCTTTTCGACCATACCTTTCTATTCAGCTAATGAAGTTACTTTCTATTGAAAGATCGTCATAAAAACCGTTCCTTCATACTTAAGCCTACGCTGTTTGTGTGTATAGAAAAGTTATCCAGAATGTTGGAGACCGCACTAGTGTTCCAAACTAACGCGCACTTGGGATTCGAACCGGGGACCTCAAATTTAGAGCCTGCCTCGCTAACCCCTGCAACACCGACGCACGGCTGGGCTGCACAGCTAAAAGCTTTGTTAATTCGTCACCGCAGGATCTGGTAGGATATTCATGTAATGGTTGTCAAACGATAGCCTACAAGATGCGTCAACTAGAAGAAGAAGTAAGAAATCTGAACGAACTTATACACAAGACTGTTTCTTCAGAGGACCGCCCGGTGGTATCTACGCAGAGGTTAACTCGGAGCAGAGCGAGAGCAATCCAGTGTAAGGGATCCCCAGAAAACAATCATGTGGTGAATAAGACAACTGCTATTAGCAGTCAAGAATACGTTGCAGTACCTGCCCCGCGGATTTCCAGCTGAAAATAAGTTAGCTAACAATAGTTACCAGTTTACCTGCCCGTCATTCCCTCCCCCAAGTCCTCCCCTTTTTTATCCACGTCAGAATTTTTTGATGCCACAAAAT